CCCCCGCCTCCTGGGGCGCCCCAGCCTCCACGGACCAGAGCCAGGGAATATCTGTCCCCGGGACATCTGCGTGCTGATTGAATCTCCAATCTCCTCTCTCATTGAGCGAACGATTGGCCGCTCTTTCTCTTTTCATCGTTATAGGTGGCCGGCTGGCCGCGTGTCTCTCACTCCTGCCAGAGTTCTGGCGCGTTTCAATCGTTTCGTATATCGGGTCGGTCTGTCGGTCGGTCGGTCGGTCGGGATAGCTAGCTGGCTGGGCTATACAGTACGGCCCGTTCGAATCCTTCACGGAGAGAGGAGTACCTTTTCGCGACTAGCCTTCTGTCTACGGAAATTAAATTAAATGCACCTCGATACGCCGCGGCACAAGCCTCTGCGGCCAAGCGCCGACGACACGCTCGTTAAACTGATTGCCGGGAGCGCGCCGCGAGTGTTTTCGCCGGGTGAGAGAGTAGTATGAAGGGCAACTTCATTTTTCAACTCTTCTCTTTCGTGCCTCTTTTCCTCGCGCTTTTTTTATTGCGCAATTATCACGTGAATTACTTGGTAATGTTTTCGGGTGGTAGCAACTTGGGGAGATTTTCTGTGGAAAGGGTTGACACGGGGAGGAAGTAGATGATGGTGTTTGGATGGAGTTGAGAGAAGAGACTGATAACGACGACGTCGGTGAAATGTCGGAAATCAGAAATTATTGGAAGCCTCGATTGACAATTCACATACTTCTCACCCTTAATTACAGACCACTTGTCTAAAAAATGAACCCCAATTTTTATTTCACTATCTATGTGGAGAATTTTGGAAGCTCTAGTCTACGAGTAATCCTAATTTTTTACATAACGTGATGAAATTTTGTGAAAAACCTTAACCCTCTAAGTTCGAATGGGACTCCAGAGTCCTACACCAGAAATTCATGATTTTCACATTGTCAAGCGTTCCAAACGGACAGCCTCCCAATCCAAAGTATTAAACAGACTGTTTTAATCCTCAAAAAGTTTTACGACAAGTATAAAACACCCCTCGACTTAGAGGGTTAATAAAAATTCGTTTGATTAAACAAAATTGCCGAGTAGTCTGTGGTAACATTTCAAAGACACAAGTCAGCAGTTAACCATCGCCATTCTGTTACCAACTACAACGTGTCACCATTGCTTCACCAAAACCCCTCCCAAACAATCATCCGATACATCCCATAATACAGTATCGAATCGAAACTACAGTATCTCCCGTCGGAGGGGTGCGAAACAGCTCGCAGCAGGCATCGCGTTACCTCTCCGTCACCAGGTAAACCGACACCCTCGCCGCAATTTCACTCCCTCCCCTCGGTATAATCAATTTTCGTCACACAACACCGTATCGCTTTCCTTTTACCCGGAGCAATCTTCAACCAGACGTTCCACTAACCCCCCGATATTATTATCATCTTTCAGATGGTGACTCGCGGGGCGAGTTTGCCTGCGGCAGCGGCCAGGAGGACGAGGAGGGTACACCGGACACGGGTATGGAGGACATGGACGAGGACCCAGAGGAAGAAGAAGAAGACGAGGACGTGGAGATGAGGGTGACGGATCAGGAATCCTCTAACGCCGGTCGTGAGGGCGCCACAACAGCTTCCAGCAACGTGACCACCTCGAACTGCAAGAAAAGACAATCTTCCTCCTCGTCGTCGTCCTCGAGTAGCGTTCAGGCGCAAAACTGTCAAAGCCAGAGTCAATCGAGTCAGAACGGTACCGGTGGTAGCGGTGGTACCGGTGGCAAACCGAGAAGAGCCAGGACAGCGTTCACGTACGAGCAACTGGTAGCGCTGGAGAACAAGTTCAAGACCACCAGATACCTCTCTGTCTGCGAACGTCTGAATCTGGCTCTGTCGCTCTCGTTAACCGAGACACAGGTGAAGATCTGGTTCCAGAATCGACGCACCAAATGGAAGAAACAGAATCCGGGGTTAGACGTGAACAGCCCGACAGTACCGACGACACCGCCGCATCCACCGCCTTACGCGCCAGCCTTCCTATTCGCCACGCATCCACACCAACACCCGTTGCCACACTCGCACACGCATCCACACCCGCACGCACACGTCCATCATCCGCCGCCTGTGCCACCGCCGCCGCCTGGCTATTATCACCCAGCCGCGCCACCTTATCCTCCAACAGGGCCGACGTTCTTCGGTCATCACCTGTCGGCCACCCCCGCAACGGCGGCCGGTCCCGCCCACCTCCACGCCCTCCTCCACGGGGCTGACGCTCTCGTCGCATCCTCATCCGCACACGCACCCGCACGCGTAGCGAACTCGACTATTCGTGGAGACTTGGTCGTAGTCGGTGTGGAGGAATTGTTCGCGTCGGACGATCAAGAGGAGTGCAAGTGACCGACGACGACGACTGGGACTGTTCTTCGAGGAGAGAGAGAGAGAGAATGAGAAGGTTGCTTGGTACGAGAGAGAATAATTGTTATACGTTTCGAGGGGTTTGGGGGATGGGGTTTTTGTCGAGGCTGAAGAGGTCTGATGGTGATTTTTCGCGAGGGTTTCGAGCAAGCTTGCTTATTTGTAGATATGGGTTATGTTGTATTAGTTGTAAGTGTCGATATTCGTCGGAACCTGAGCGAAACGTGATTAGAGGGTGGTTTGTGGAGTTGTGAGGAAGTTCTGCTCGGGTGTTTTTAGGTGTGGAGATCTTGAGAATTTCGTGACTTAACGCAGGTTATGTCACACTTGAGCGATCGAATAGAATCAATAAGATAAATAAGAAATTCTTAGAAAATGTAGTTCGAGTTCCTATAAAATTTTCACTTGGTAGATTCAATATTTCGAATTGCCGGGAATCCTCAAGGAAGCGCAATATTTCACAATATTTTAACTTGATAAATTCAATCTTTCAGCATCTTCTATGCATTTTCGAATCCATTTTCACCCGACATTTTACAATAGAACACACCAGCAGAATTTCTGCGCCAATCCACCAAGCACCCTAACTAAATGTGTAAATATCAAGTTGAAAAGCTACAGCTCATCTCTTCAGCCCCAAATAGACTCCGTTAAGAATGGAGAAAGAAAAGTCCGCCGGATCTGGTGAAGCAATTTCACGGGGAAAACGATGTTCAAGGAGCCTCGAATACGCTTTCGCTTCCGCTTTCGATGGCCGCACGTGGGTCGTCTCGATAGGGTAATCGGTTTACGCGGGGTGACGCGTCAAACACGAGCGTATCTCTTCGAGGATATTGTCGGGCCGTTTAAAATTCGCGGGGAGGGCGAGAGAGTGGGGATCCGTGGGTCAAGCGGAAAGATAAATACGCGGTGATACGCGGACGAAGAAGAATAACAGGCGTGATGCGCCCTTTTCTAATCGGGTGTAATTGGAAAAAAACACGGACAGAACGACGAAGTGAGACGAACCTGCGCTTGATTTTGTGTTTCGTGACAAGAAAGTAGGGGAGAAATTTCGAAGGTGTACTTCTCTTCGTGCGAACGTTCGCGAGTTTCCAAGTCGTTTTTCCTCGCCGCCATTGTAACATATACGCCGTTCGTCGTTACGGAAAGATAGATAGACTTTCACGGAAGAAGAAGAAGAGGAAGAGGAAGAAAAAAACGCTCGTAGCTGTAAGGTGTGCGTGAGAGTTTCAAAAGGAACAAACGAGAGAGAGAGAGAGAGAGAGAGAAGAGAGAGAAATGAAAGGGTGAGAGAGGGAAAAAATGGATGTCTGTCGCACGTCGCGAGTGGATGAACGCGAAAGGATTTAGCGAGCAATTTTTTGTGCTGAACGCAAAAAACTGAACCACGTCGGAACGTAGTGGAACGTTCCTGTGTAAAATAAAATACCGTACGTTACACTCGTAAGCCTTTGCCAGTAAATACACGCAGATTATCCCATACAGCATACGCGTGACGCCCCCGACGAAAGATCGATCACGGTCCGCTCGATGCAGGTGCACGCCAAATCGAGCATACCTTCGCGCATTATGCGCTTCCGCTGTCCACCATTCTCACGATCCATTATCGCCATTACGGTGTCCTCTGATTCTAAATTCCTTTCGTCCCTACGTACCCGCGAATTATTTCAGATTAGACGATTCGCGAATTTTTCGTTGCTTTCGATTATTTTCGTTGTCGAAGCGAAGCAGGTTCGAGTGAAGTTAAATATCCCTCAGGCTAATATTTTCAGTACTATTTTGAAATTTTAAATAATTGCTCTTGGAACTCTTCTTTCGTCGAGTAATTTAAGGATATGATGGAGAAGGTATTCTAAATTTGGTTTGCTAGTGAAATTGGCTCCTGCCGATTCGTATCGAAATTTTAATTGAAATTTTCCAAATTACTTTTCTAGTGAATAGCAGAAAGTGAAACTTTCTGAAAAAGCGAAGAATGAAGAGATCTGGTTTAGTTAACTGTTACACAATTATTGTTCAGGGATATGAAATTTAGAAACTAGTATTTTGAGCACAAAGTAATTTTTAGCTCAATTATTTTGAGCCGAATTATAATATTCTGGCTCAAAACGATTCCGTGCTCAATTATTTTGAGCACAAAAATAATGCGTTCAATTATGATATTTTGGCTCAAACTAATTTTGTGCTCAATTATTTCACGCTCAAAATGCTCATATCTACATTTCATATTCCCAAACAATAATTACTTAGTATCACAAACGTCTTTCTCTCTAATTACCATTTTTCCCTTTTAAAATGGTACTCGCAACATTGCACTCTCGTTATCTCATTTTCCAAAAATCAGACACTTGCAGAATCACGATACGGAACCGTTCAAGTTATCTTTCATTCGGAACCACCATTTTCCTAATCAACCCTCTCGTCGAAAACGATCGTTTTTCGTACTCTCGGACATCGAGCAGCAGCAGCAGCAGCACACGTCTGGTCCGCGGAGATGAAATTTTCATAGGAGAAGAGAGGCGAGAGAACAGGGAGAGAGCCGCTAAGTGAGCCGAGCCATTAGTCGGCCGGATGGCTGAGGAATATTCCGTGCTTTGAACGAGCCGCTCGTCCAAACTCGTCCAGCCTTTCACGCACGGTTCGTGATATACAGTGCAGGCTTGTTGTCGGCTGTCCCAAAGGCAGCCACGTTCAATTGACGGAAAATCGCTCGCGCCTTGCTTTGATGCCGAAATTAGAAAGCACGGGGCAGCCGTCTGATTCCGAGCGTCTCCGTGGACAAAGCCTTCATCTTTTCCGAGACAATGGCGGACGTTTCTGACGTGCAGAGACACGGTGTCGTGTCTTCGCCGTTCAACGTGATCCTTCCCTTGAAACTTCACTTTTTTTCGTGCAATCACTATTTACCCACGTGTCTAGCTGTTTAGTCATAACGTTCTCCAACGAAGAATTGCAATTTTATGTTTTGCAGAAGATAACTCGTTTTTCTTTTCTCGGAATTTTTAGTGTTATTGTTGCACAACTGTAGAATGTGTGAGGATTTATGGCAATTTATTAAAATTTCAAAGCTATACGACGTTAAAATCGTCCGATTTATTATTTTTTAAAAAAGGCTGAATGAATTGAAAAAATTTAATATGACAATTTATCGGGATTTTATGATCGTACGATGTTAAAATCACCTGATTGAAAGGCTAGGTAAATTGAACAAATTTGATATTTTAGTCATGGTTCTCCAAAAGTTCTCCAATTGTTTTCTATTCTCTCAAATTTTCAGCTATGTTGTACGACTCTGATTTATTATTTTCCAAGAAAATCTAGATAAATTGAACAAATTTAGTATTTCAGTCATGGTTCTCCAAAGGAAAATTAAATCAGATTAAATTCGTGGAATTTTACACTTCCTTTTTTATTCTCTGAATTTTTCACCTGTGCTGTAGCACTCTAATTTGTTATTTTCCAAGAAAATCTAGATAAACTGAACAAATTTAGTATCTTAGTCATGGTTCTCCGAAATCGTGGAATTATATGCCCTCTGTCCCTTTTCCGAATTTTTGCAATTGTGTTGCAACATTTCACAGTGTGCGCAAATTTATAACAATTCATACGATGAACCTAATTTGTCCTTTTTCAACAAAAGCTGGTCGAATAGAAGAAATTCTACGTTTTAATTATTTTTCCATCGCAACTATAGGTCTGAAGAGAATAAATGCAACGATTTTCGAGGAAGAGGGGATGCGAGTCGCTTGAGCAACGGTGGAAAGTTTTATTGAAACGAAGCCAGGACCGATTCGCGTCAGGCCGTTGACAAATGGCCGGTTCGACGGGGAACGGGTAAAATATCGTTCGATGCGTTCTGTAAGGGCCACCACGCAATTCGTCATCGACATTAATGAGAAGGATATTTCCAATGCTCGGTGTCCAATGGAATTTTTCGTCGAGTCCAGCGTGAAATATTTTTATCCGTCACGCGTGATTGCTCGAACCCTACATGTCATCCGCAGAAGTATACCGGCACGAACGTTCTCATTATAAACCACTTTGAATCGATCGGAATCCTTCTCGAGGTTTAACATCAAATTTGCCAGATATTCCGATCGATCTGTTCAATAATTCATGTGACAATTCTCGCGCAATGTTTTCACAGAAAATCATCAGACTTGCGGTGTCAAAAATTGAGGATCCAGGAAAATTAACCCCTTGCACAATTTATGAACAATTCTAGCAATTCTGGAAATCAAGAGTTTTGGTTTGAAAATAAAAAAATATAAATGAGACGCAAATTTTACAGGTGTCTGTAGAAACAATTTTTGGGGGATTCGTGAAAATTAACCCTTTGCACTCCGAGCATTTATTACGATCTATGAGCAATTCTAGCAATTTTGGAAATGAAGAGTTTCGTTTTGACAATAAAAAAATATAAATGAGACACAAATTTTAGATTTGTCTATAGAAATAATTTTCGAGGATTTAAAACATTCTTGGGGATTTGTGAAAATTCACCCTTTGCACTCCGAGCATTTACTGTAATCTATGAGCAATTCTAGCAATTTTGGAAATAAAGAGTTTCCAAACTTGGGGATTTGTGAAAATTCACCCTTTGCACTCCGAGCATTTACTGTAATCTATGAGCAATTCTAGCAATTTTGGAAATAAAGAGTTTCCAAACTTGGGGATTTGTGAAAATTCACCCTTTGCTGTCCAAGCATTTTTTATACCATAGACCAGCAAATCCCAAATACCAGAGGACTTAAAAAACGAATCTCAGAGGGCTGAAAAAATTCTCAACTAAACCTACTCGAAACAAAAACACTCCTCTATTGTCACATCTCAAGTCACTCGACTCTCGCACAGAACCGCTCGAAATCAATCAGACCGCCCTCCATGCCCATAATCCGA